CCCTGACGCGCCTGGTTGGCAGTTCTACCACCCCACCTCGCGCCGTGTTCTGTCCTCCCAGGACGTCACCTTCCACGAGTCGGTGCCTTACTACCGTCTCTTCCCCTCCCCCCGCCGCCGCTCTTCCTTGCGCCAGGTCCTCCCCCGGTAGACCCCCTCCCCCCTCAGGGTCCTGCCCCGTCAGGTGTGTCCCAGGTAGACGTAGTTGAGATTGTCGAGGTAGCTGTTGACTCTGGTGCTGCTAAGGGCGCTGTGCCTACGGGTGCCGGGTCTAGGGGTGCGGAGCCTGGGGGTGCTGAGTCTCGGGGTGCTGAGCCTGGGGGTGCTGAGTCTGGGGGTGCTGAGCCTAGGGATGCGGAGCCTGGGGGTGCTGAGCCTGGGGGTGCGGAGCCTGGGGGTGCTGAGCCTGGGGGTGCGGAGCCTAGGGGTGCTGGGTCTACTCGTGTGGCCTCTGGCGGTGCTTCGTCGAGGCGGGAGCTACTCTCTCCGCTGGAGCTACGCGACTGGTTTGCCCGGCGCTGGAGCCGTGCTGCTGGAGCTGGAGGTACTACTGTTGCTGCTGGTCCTGGAGGGTCTCATCCTGGCGGTTCCGGAGCTGCTGGGACTGGGAGTCCTGCTGGAGGTGCTACTGGAGCTACTGGAGCTGGAGCTGCTGGGGATGTTGGCGCTGGTGGTTCTGCTGGCGCTGATGCTTCTGCGGGTACTGGAGGTGGCGGTGTCAGTCAAGTCGAGCACTTCACAGCCCTTGCTCGCCGATGACACACCAAGATGGAAACCCCAGCGTACCTTCGGCGCTAAATTTTGGTACCTTCAGCGTACTTTATGCGCCAAGACCATAAACTGTCAGAATCCCAACCACTAGATAATTGGGATAAAATGGCTTGTTAAGTAGCAGGTCAGTGCGCCCATAACCCCCCAGGCCAACGTGCCTGTAACCCCTCCCCAGGATCAATTGGGGATCACCAGTGGACCTCTGACATAAACTGCATCATGCAACCCCACACTCGTGTTTGCATGACTTTATGCTGTGCAGTGCATTGTAGCTTGTCTGGCGTCTTCCCAAAGACAGAAAAGCCCGTTCATGGCAATTGTGCACCCTAACTGCTTGTCAGATGACAAAGTGTCACGAGTGATGCTTCACACCCATGTGCAGAAGCATCGTCCAGACAGCTTTGACGGTCGCTGTGTGCGAGCCGAGCGTGCCAAATGTCCGCCGTCGACCTTGTTGACGAGAAAATGGTCCGCAAAGCAACATCAACGTCAGCTACAGCTAGTACTTGTCAGAGGTCTACTGGTGATCCCCGATTGATCCTAGGGAAGGGTTACATGCTCGTTGTCCTGGAGGGTTATGGGCGCACTGACCCACTACTTAACAAGCCCTTTCATCCCAGTGGCTAGTGGCTGGGATTCTGACAGTACTGTCAGAGGTAGGTATAGAGAACCCAGCCGGTGTGGCATGTACGATCGATCACGACTCTCGCAACCGTATCTCGTCGCCATTTTCCTACAGCTTCACGCTGCTATCCTTCAGCTGGCTGGTCGACGACAAGTTGCTTGCACTCTCGGAATGTACATCATATTGAGATTGAGAATCTACTTTGCCGACTTCCCTTCCAGCGCAACAGTGCCACGACCTTGAAAAAAGCCTCTTGACTTTCCATCATGTGATGCGAGCAGTCGCTGTCGAGGAGCACCATAGTTGAATTTGCGTGTACGGTGGCGGCAACCGTCTTGAAATCATCTCCGGCCTCTGGCGCCAGGGAAATGGTTAGCTCGACACTTGCAATAATGGCAAGTAGCACTTGAGATGACCATGAATGGCAGCAGGTGAGTGGCGCAAAAATACATCCGCACAAGTTAAGCTACCGTGTCTCACAAACTGAAAAAGAGCGGAATAAGTCGGATTGATTGGGTTGGGGTACAAAATGCATAACCCTAACTGTTTGTACCCCATATAGCATAACCCACTAGAGGCTATAACATTTGACACACCCCCATAGCCTAAGTGGGGAATGCCAAGCAACAAAACGCAACCTAAGGTCACAAGACCTGTCACAAGCAAGAGAGAAAACAAAGCTCAGGGTGGATCACAATGTCACCACACTGTCTGAGCACAAACAAGGGGCCACAAGGCCAGTTCAAGAGTGTACAAGCTATTATATATGGTACACACAAACAAGAGGCAAGAGCTCACTATTGCAGTCTACTAGACCCAGTCTCAACGAGGCCTAACTGCAGACAAAACCGGCAGTGGTCACAAGGCTGAAGAGCCTTGGTGAAGATGTCTGCAATGTTCGCCTCGAAGGCCATGAAGTCCAGACGAGCCTGTCCGCGTCTCTGCAACTCACGAAGGAGGAAGTACCTGACAGCAATGTGTTTCACTCTGCTCTCCAGTCGAGGCTCACGACACATGAGAATCATTGCCTTGTTGTCAGCAAACAAGGTTGGTGCAGAGCTCGGCCGCTCACCAAGGTCAGTGAGCAAGAAGGTAAACCAGCGCAGCTCCTATGCAACAAGGGCTCCAGCGTAGATCTCGGCCTCTGCGGTAGAAATCGCAACAGAGGAGGACTGAGTAGACCTCCACGAAACAGCTCTAGAGCCCAGGCTGAAACAGTAACCTTGCGTAGACCTCTGAGTCTCAACGTCGTCGGCGTACGAGGAGTCGAAGTGACCAGTGAGTACAACTGGCTGTGTCCCTCCAAGTACAAGCCCCATGTCTGATGTCGTGGCGAGGTACTTCGCCACCCTCTTAGCCGCCGTCCAGTGAACATGACGGTGTCTCGCAGTCGCAACAAAGTGAGAAAGGATGCTAAGAGGGAAGGCGAGGTGCAGGCGAGTGCACGTCATCAGGTACATGAGGCAGCGTCAGCCTCAGCGAGGTGTTGTTCACCCTTCGTGCACCTATCAGCTTTTGACAGGTGCTCGCCGAGACGTTGTGATCCACCCTGCGCTTTGTATCTTTGTGACTGGTCTTGTGACCGTACACTATTGGTTTTGCTAGACGGCGCGGGCAGGCGGCGCGGCATGCGGGCCGGCGAGCGGCGCGGCAGGCCGACGGGTGGGAGGCGCGGTGCGTGGCTCGCTGGCGTCCGCGCTTGCGTGCGTGCTGGCGTGCGCGCCGGCGTGGTGTGCTGGCGTGCGTGCAGGTGGGGCGCGGTGGCGTGCGCGCAGGTGGGGCATGCGGGCAGGCGCGCTGGCGTGCGCGCTGGCGGGGCGTGCTGGCGTGCGCGCTGGCGCGGGCGCTGGCTAGGGCGCTGACGTGCCTGCTGGCTAGGGCGCTGGCGGGCCTGCTGGCTAGCGCGCTGGCGTGCCTGCTGGCTAGGGCGCTGGCGGGCCTGCTGGCTAGCGCGCTTAGGGCAGATGGGGAGGAGAGAGACGCCCTCAGTCTAGGAACGGCGGAGACTAGGTGTGGCCTAGGAACGGCGAACCTACTGCTGATACCATCTCACAAACTGAAAAACAACGGAATGAGTTGGATTGATTGGGTTGGGGTACAAAATGCCTAACCCTAACTGTTTGTACCCCACATAGCATAACCCACTCGAGGCTATAACATTTGACACCGTGTGCAGAGTTGGTTGTCTTGTGCGGTTTGAGCTGGTCCCGAAGCGTATGCCGATATGGCCTTGTATATTGATGTGTTGCTTGACAAAGCTATCGTTTATTGTAATGAATACTGGCGTTTGGTAATTGAAGCACGGCCGAGGCCCAGTGTACATTGCTCCACACGATGAAAACTGGTGAGATGTAAGGAACTTGAAAATCTCCCTTACGCGCACTCTTCTTTCCAGAACTAGTGAATGTTTCATTTCCTTGCATTCCTCCTCTTTGGCACTCTTTGTGCTCAAACGAACCGACCTCTAAACCGAGAGAGGCAGTTTCGCTTGACCGACTGAGCATTTCCCGCCGCCACTAATGATTCGTCCAACCATCGTTTAGCCTGCCCCACGAATTGCAGCGAAGCCAGCCTGCAAGCCACAAACCTCAGCAATGATCGAGGCCGTCCGTTGAATCTCAGCAGAGGCTGGCTGAATGTGTGTCAGAGACTTGCTTCCGCGACACGGGAAGTTTGCAGAGCGGAGCGCCAGGGGGTGAAGTCTGGGGTGAGATCCGTACCGTGGAAGGGATCTGTCCGAGCCGAAGGAGTCCCCTGGAGACACTTCTTCCTCTCTGCATCCGCGAAGCAGCACCTCGAGAATACCGAACTCGCCGGGGCTGTTCGCCAGCAAATCGAACTTTGAAATGAAAAAGATGGCATCGGCATCGCGACCGCATCTGGAAACGGGCGAGGAACCATCCTCCGTGGTTTGGGCGTAATGCCACTCGAGAAACTTCACAGCCCAAAAAGCGAAATTACACAACCGCATCGGGAACCTCCCTCCCCACCTTCCCCTCCCTCCCTCTGAACGGCAATGCCGTCACCATGCCATCGCTGTCCTCCCTGAAGGGGGGGATGGCGATGGCATATCAGGGAATTTTTGCCTGGGGACGCAGTTGCGTCCCCGCTTCCAGATGCCATCACACAGTTCGAATTGGTTGTGAAATGGGGGCGTTCGCCAGGACTCCTATTGGCTTTCGGTTCGGACGGAATATGAGGTTCGGCAGCAATTTTACGGGCTGACCCTGGCTGACGGAGATGAACGAACCCTAACTGACGGGATCAGGAAGGAGCGACTGACCTTCCTGATCCCGTCACACTCCCGTCAGTTATCTATGAGTGGTGCTGGCGAACAGCCCCGCCTTGTTCAGGAAGGGGGGTGAGAATCGTTTCCCTAGCCTTGTTCAGTTCACCTTGTTCGGTAGGCACCTTCTGCGACTGTGGATCGGTGAGCTCTGTGCTGAGGGACTTGTTTGTTGTGGTTGTCGGCTCCAAGAATTAAATCTGTAGCGTCGACCGACCCTCATAACAATCGCTACTTCTTTTCCGACCTTACAAAAACTCCAGTGAACAGATCTAGGGAACGCTCCAGGGCTCCTGAGCTGCTTAGACTCCCGCTGTCATGGCACAGCCTGGAAACCGCAAGGCGGGTAACCGCCGCCGTTCCAGCGGAGAGCAGGCGGTTATTGTCGGAGTGCTGCTAACGCTGATCTTTCTCGTTTACAACGGCCGGTTTCCGTCTATTTTTCCGTCTCGCAAGAGCACCCAGTACGACAACCTCAGCGCCACGGCGCTGCGCAAAATCCAGGCGGAGGATGCGGCGCTCCTCGCGCCGGAAGAACCGGAGAGCGAGGGAGAGAGCCAGGCAGCTTTTGACGCCGACGAGGGGCCTTACTACATGGAGCCGCGGGTCAAAGGTAGGTTAACTACGAGCTGAACATATTGTGTGCTTCACGGCGAGCACAAGTATTATGGTTTTCAGGAAGAGCGTTCGATGCTGATGAGGAGCCTTACCATATGGAGCCGCAGCTCAAGGGTAGGTCAACTGCGGGTCAAGGTTATGCCAATGGCGGGTCAAGCGTATGTGTCATTTACGGGTCAAGGAAAGAAGATGTGTGAGAGCTAGTGGCTGATCGTTCGGGTGACTATCATCAAATCAGCAAAAATGTTACCCGCACGTCATTGATGGATCAAGGCAATAAGATGTGTGAGAGCTAGTGGCTGATCGTTCCACGGCGAGTCGCGTGCCGCAGAGATAGTGCGTGTTCGTCGGCGAGCATAGGAAGTGCGTCGTTCAGAGTGAGCGTGCGACGCTTCTAATGAGTACGTCAATAGCGAGTATAGGTTGTAGAACGATCGGTCGTCAATGCCAAGCAGGCGCACTAGATGCTCAAGACAGCGGTATGCACTTTTGAGACTTCTCAACAGTGGGTATGCTCGTCGAGAAACCAAGAAATCCGTGTTCGCGAGTCGCCTGTAATTTATATGAAATTGCGAGGCGTTTTGAGAAGTCTCGAGACTTTGCGCGACTCTGGAACAACGGAAGTCTCAAGTTGCGCGATCCGTGGCTTTGGCCAACGCGGCGCGCCGTTCGCATCGAATGGCGCGGCGGTTGCGAGGCGTCGGGGATAGCTGTTCATCGCACTGTAAGGGTGCGCTGCCCAAAGCTGCTCTAAGGATGCTCGATTTCCTCACCCACGTGTTTTCAGAATTGCCGTTCTTCCACAATGAGCGAAGACAGTAGGGGGTGCGGTGCTCTAAGCTGCTCCAATGATGCTCGAATTCCACACCCACCTCCCCTTCCCTTCCTCTCCCCCTCCTCTCCCTTCCCCTCCTTTCGCGAGTTAGGGTGCGCGCACAAGGCTCGCTGCTCATAAACCAAACACATCGCACGTTGTGACGAGTGGCGATGCTGCTTACATCGCAGCAACGAGGCGAAGGAATGATAAATTTGATTTGCGCACAATACTCGCTCACCGCTTCTCCCCTTCCCCCTTTTCCCCCCTTCGCTACAATCGCCCCGTCGCAGACTGGGACGAGCAGCGAAACGCGTACATCGCGGCGCACCCGGGGTGCAACGCGACGCGCGACGGCAAGCCCAAGGTGATGCTAGTGTCGGGCTCCAACAGCAAGCGGTGCGGCGAGGGCCCCAACAGCGGCGACTTCTTACTCCTGAAATTCCTCAAGAACAAGCAGGACTACGCGCGAGGCTCGCTCACCGTTCCCCTCGTCCCCCCGCACCCCCTCCCCCCCGCTCCCACTCTCCCCGCCGCAGACTGGGACGAGCAGCGGAACGCGTACATCGCGGCGCACCCGGGGTGCAACGCGACGCGCGACGGCAAGCCCAAGGTGATGCTGGTCTCGGGCTCCAACAGCAAGCGGTGCGGCGAGGGCCCCAACAGCGGCGACTTCTTACTCCTCAAGTTCCTCAAGAACAAGCAGGACTACGCGCGCGTGAACGACATGCCGTTCTACTACGGCATGGGCGCCATTGACCCGCGGCTCAAGACGTTCTGGGTGAAGCTGCCCATGCTGCGCATGCTCATGCTGCAACACCCGGATGTGGAGTGGTTCCTCTGGGTCGACTCCGACGCCATGATCACCGGTGAGGCGCGTTGAGGGGGGAGGGGGTTAGCCCAGGGTTGGGAAGTGGCCGAGGAATGGATTTGGGATAATACATGAGACGCAACGGTCGCCTCATGCTGCAGCACCCCGACGTGGAGTGGTTCCTCTGGGTCGACTCGGACGCCATGATTACTGGTGAGGGGACTGGGGGGGATTTGGGGTTTGGGAGGAATCCGAGGATGGAAAGTAGCAGAGGAAGGGGTTTCGGTTGGTATGAGATGCAACGGCCGGCTCATGCCGCGGCACCCCGACATGGAGTGGTTCCTGTGGGTCCACTCCGACGCTATGATCACCGGTGAGGTGCGTGGGGAATAGCAGAGGTGGGAGTTAAGCTTGGGGAGTAGGCTTGGCTGGGAAGGTAGGTCTGGTCTGGGAGGTAGGTCTGGTCTGGGAGGTAGGTCTGGTCTGGGAGGTAGGTCTGGTCTGGGAGGTAGGTCTGGATTGAATCTGAGTAGTCGCACGCTCGGCATCTGCAGCGGTTGGCTCGTGCCGATGTGGAGTGGTTCCTGTGGATCGACTCGACCCCGACGCCATGATCACGGGCGAGGGGCGCGGAGTGGTTGGACGCCAGGTGAAAAACATACACGCTAGTGTCTTTGAGACGTCTCAAAACTCAGGTTGGACGCTAGGTGAAAAAAGGGTGTTTTTTATCACGGGTGAGGGGCGTGGTGTGGGAGGTAGCCGAGGTTCGGATTGGGCTTGAGATCTTTGAGTGATTCCATGCGCAACAGTCGGCTGACGCTGCAGCACAACAGTCTACCCCCCATCCCTTCTCCTCCTTCACCTCCCCCATCTCTTCTCCTCCTTCCCCCATCCCCCATACCCCTTTCCCCGTCCCCCATCACCCATTTGCCCCCATCCCTTTCCTCCCCTCCTTCCCCGTTCTCTCCCATCTGCCCCCCTCCACCTCTGCGGAGACATGGCGTTCTGGTACCTCATCGAGAAGCAGGCGGACAAGGCACGATCCTCATTCCCGCTCCCCGTTTCCCCCCTTCTCTTCTCCCCCTACCCCTTCTTCCCCTCCCCCCATCCCCGCCTGGCAGACATGGCGTTCCGGTACCCCATCGAGAGGCAGGCGGACAAGGTGCTCGTGATGTCTGGGCTGGACGCTGACGTGTACGGCAAGAAGGACTGGTGAGTGCGTGGTGACGTGTACAGCAAGAAGGTTTGGTGTGAGTGCGTGCTGACGTGGCAAGAGGGGAAGAGGCGGAGGGAGGAAGAGGGGAGGAGGGATGGAAGGATGCGGTGAGTGGGATAAGGAGAGAAGGGGAAGTTTCAACCAGTGACACTCGCCTCTCACGCCCCTCTCACGCCCCTCACACGCCCCTCAGCGCCTCTAGCGTCACACAGCACTCGCCTCGCCCACCTTCATGCCATTTGCCGCTTCCTCCCTCCCCCGTTGCTCACCCCCTCCGTCTCCACCTCATCCAGCATCGCTCACGCTTCCCCACCTTCCTCTCTCCCGTCTCCTTCCTTCCCTTCACTTCCTCCCCTCCCGTCTCCTCTCCACGCCTCCCCTCCTCTCCACGCCTCCCCTCCTCTCCACGCCTCCCCTCCTCTCCACGCCTCCCCCCCCCCTCATTTTTCCTCCCGTCCCTTCCCCTTCCTCGCGTTGCCTCCCCTTACTGCTTTCTTCCCGCTCCCCCTCGCCTCACCCGCACTCCCCGGGTAGCCCTCAACACCAAAAGCTAATTCTTGACTACAAAATCTCCCCCTTCCCCACCTCCTCGCCCTTACCTTACCTCCCGGGTAGCCCTCAACACCCGAAGCTAATCTTTGAGTCTACGAAATCTTCCCCTTTCCTCTTCCGCTCTCCTCGCCCGCACCCCCAGGGTAGCCCTCAACACCCGAAGCTAATTCTTGAGTCTACTAAAACATCTTCCCCTTCCCTCTTTTCCACCTCCTTGCCCGCACTCCCAGGGTGGCCCTCAACACGGGAAGCTTCCTCATCCGCAACTCCCAGGTAAGCATTCCCGCCGCCTCACTACCATCCTGCCACGTCATCGTCCTGTCACTCCCACTTCGCCACGTCATCGTCTCTGCCTCGTGACCACATGGCCGTTTCTCTTCCCTGTGCGGCTGCACCATCCCCGCCTGTGCCCTCTGCCAGCCTTTCCATACGCAGCACTGCCCTCATTTTCAGGGCGATTTTTGGGAGTTCTCAAAAATCGCTCACAAGGACCGCGACTGGGCGCACTGCAGTGCAGTGCGGTGCAGTGCAGTGACACATAGCTGCATGATCGCTGCTGCCCCTCTGCTGCACCGCACTCGCTCCCTTGTGTCCCACTGCCCTGTGTTGCCCCTCTGTCATGTGCTGCCCCTCTGTCATGTACTGCCCCTCTGCGCCGTACAACAACTCTTTGTACCGCTGTCTCACATCCCTGCTCCCCTTGCGAGTGTGCCCGACCGCACACCAGGACGGGCTGGATCTCCTGGACGACTGAGGGCAGTACGGGCGGTCGGAGGAGGCCGCTCCGCCCCGCCCATCACCCCGTTCCACCGCCATCTCACATCCCTGCTCCCCTTCTGTGTGTGTTTGTGCGCACATCACACCAGGACGGGCTGGACCTGCTGGACGACTGGGGGCAGTACGGGCGGTCGGAGAAGGTCACGGTCAAGTGGGGCGAGATCGCCAGCCGTGTGCTCCAGGTGCGTGCTGTGCTGTGCTGTGCTGTGCTGTGCTGCGCTGTGCTGTGCTGTGCTGCGCTGTGCTGTGCTGCGCTGTGCTGTGCTGTGCTGTGCTGTGCTGTGCTGTGCTGTGCTAAGCTGTGCTGTGCTGTGCTAAGCTGTGCTGTGCTGTGCTGTGCTGTGCTGTGCTGTGCTGCGCTGTGCTGTGCTGTGCTAAGCTGTGCTGTGCTGTGCTTAGCTGTGCTGTGCTAAGCTGTGCTGTGCTGTGCTGTGCTGTGCTTAGCTGTGCTGTGCTAAGCTGTGCTGTGCTAAGCTGTGCTGTGCTGTGCTGTGCTGTGCTGTGCTGTGCTGTGCTGTGCTGTGCTGTGCTGCTGCTCAGGTGATAAGATAACACCAGAGTGGTGTGCTGTGCAGTCGAGTTTGAAGAGCTGACTTCTCACAGTTGACTTGTTGGTCATTATTCTGCTCCACCCTCTTCACGTCATCATCTCGTTGCCTTCCCATGTGCCTTCCCATGTGCCTTCCCATGTGCCTTTGCATGTGCCTTCCCTCTTCCCCACCGCACACCTCCTTGCGCCCCACCCTCCTGCATCGCCCCACCCACTCCCTCCCCCACTCCCTCCCCCACTCCCTCCCCCTCTCCCTCCCCCTCTCCCTCGCCCTCTCCCTCCCACTCTCCCTCGCCCTCTCCCTCCTCCTCTCCCTCCCCCTCTCCCTCCCCCGCTCCCTCCCCCTCTCCCTCCTCCTCCCCCTCACCCTCCCCCTCTCCCTCGCCCTCTCCCTCGCCCCCTGCCCCCGCCAACCCTCACAGAAACGTAAGAACTGGCCGGCAGACGACCAGACGGCGCTGGTGCTGATGCTGACGGGTGAGGGCGAGAAGGCAGGAAGGAGGAGGACAGGGCCAAGGGACCCAAGCCGCTGGCGCTCTTTCCCTTCGTCACGCTTCCCCCGCATCCCCTGCCCCCGCCTACCCTCACAGAAACGCAAGAAACGTCGGCGGACGACCAGATGGCGCTGGTGCTGATGCTGACAGGCGAGGGCGATACGGAGGAGGACAGGGGAGAAGGCTCTGCTCCACCCCTCCCTCCTGCATGCCCTCATTTCCTCCCTTCTCTCCCTTCCTTTCCTAATCTACTCTCTTCCCTCGCCCCCTGCCCCCGCCAACCCTCACAGAAACGCAAGAACTGGCCAGCGGACGACCAAACGGCGCTGGTGCTGATGCTGACGGGTGAGGGCGAGAGCGAGGAGGACAAGGCCAAGGGGCTCAAGCCGCTGGCGGACCGCTGGGCTCCGAAAACGCACCTGGACCCCACGTACACTCTGCACGGCTTTTGGGGAATCTTCGTAGACAAGTGAGTGACAGCAGAGGAGAGTGCAGCAATTCGGCCAAACCTACAGACCATACACCTGCACTCTGTGGGAAGACTGGGCTCCAGACACTCACCTCTCATCATCGTCCTCCCCCTTCGCCCTGTCGTCCTCTTCCCCCACCAGGCTGGAGCAGATAGCAGCCAAGTACCACAACGGAGTGGGCGACTGGGAGTGGCCCTTCACGGTGCACTTCACGGGGTGCAAGCTGTGCGACCGCAAGTTCTCCGACTATGACCCCGACACCTGTGACCGCGGGATCCACCGGTATGTGGGGGTGGCACGTACCACACACACCGGTATGTGGGAGTGGCACGTACCGCACACACCGGTATGTGGGAGTGGCACGTACCGCACACACCGGTATGTGGGAGTGGCACGTACCGCACACACCGGTATGTGGGAGTGGCACGTACCGCACACACCGGTATGTGGGAGTGGCACGTACCGCACACACCGGTACGTGGGAGTGGTACGTACCACACACACCGGTATGTGGGAGTGGCACGTACCACACACACCGGTATGTGGGAGTGGCACGTACCACACACACCGGTATGTACATTCATCAGCATTCCGCACTCATAAGCAGTTCTCCGACTATGACCCCGACACCTGTGACCACGGCATTCACCGGTATGACCTGCACTCACTACTACAAGCAAGCACTCAGAAAGAGGTAGCACTCACAGCATTCATCCATTTTAAGTACTGATAAGCATTTGCAAGTTCTCTGACTACAATTCCGACTCCTGCAACCGCGGCATTCACCGGTATGGGAGGCACTCACACGACGAGCATTCATCCACAGACACTACGAGTATTAAAGCACTCACACTACGTGCATTCAAGCACTCACACTACGAGCATTCAAGCACTCACACTACGAGCATTCAAGCACTGACACTACGAGCATTCAAGCACTCACACCACGAGCATTCAAGCACTCACACCACGAGCATTCAAGCACTCACACTACGAGCATTCAAGCACTCACACTACGAGCATTCAAGCACTCACACTACGAGCTTTCAAGCACTCACACTACGAGCATTCAAGCACTCACACTACGAGCATTCAAGCACTCACACTACGAGCATTCAAGCACTCACACTACGAGCATTCAAGCACTCACACTACGAGCATTCAAGCACTCACACTACGAGCATTCAAGCACTCACACTACGAGCATTCAAGCACTCACACTCCGAGCATTCAAGCACTCACACTACGAGCATTCAAGCACTCACACTACGAGCATTCAAGCACTCACACTACGAGCATTCAAGCACTCACACTACGAGCATTCAAGCACTCACACTACGAGCATTCAAGCACTCACACTACGAGCATTCAAGCACTCACACTTCGAGCATTCAAGCACTCACACTACGAGCATTCAAGCACTCACATTACGAGCATTCAAGCACTCACACGACGAGCATTCAAGCACTCACACTACGAGCATGCAAGCTTCTCCGAGTATGACCCTGCCACCTGTGACCGCGGCATTCACCGGTATTGGAAGCACTCACACTCCGAGCATTCAAGCACTCACACTCCGAGCATTCAAGCACTCACACTACGAGCATTCAAGCACTCACACTACGAGCATTCAAGCACTCACACTACGAGCATTCAAGCACTCACACTACGAGCATTCAAGCACTCACACTACGAGCATTCAAGCACTCACACTACGAGCATTCAAGCACTCACACTACGAGCATTCAAGCACTCACACTACGAGCATTCAAGCACTCACACTACGAGCATTCAAGCACTCACATTACGAGCATTCAAGCACTCACACGACGAGCATTCAAGCACTCACACTACGAGCATGCAAGCTTCTCCGAGTATGACCCTGCCACCTGTGACCGCGGCATTCACCGGTATTGGAAGCACTCACACTCCGAGCATTCAAGCACTCACACTCCGAGCATTCAAGCACTCACACTACGAGCATTCAAGCACTCACACTACGAGCATTCAAGCACTCACACTACGAGCATTCAAGCACTCACACTACGAGCATTCAAGCACTCACACTACGAGCATTCAAGCACTCACACTACGAGCATTCAAGCACTCACACTACGAGCATTCAAGCACTCACACGACGAGCATTCAAGCACTCACACTACGAGCATGCAAGCTTCTCCGAGTATGACCCTGCCACCTGTGACCGCGGCATTCACCGGTATTGGAAGCACTCACACTCCGAGCATTCAAGCACTCACACTCCGAGCATTCAAGCACTCACACTACGAGCATTCAAGCACTCACACTACGAGCATTCAAGCACTCACACTACGAGCATTCAAGCACTCACACTACGAGCATTCAAGCACTCACACTACGAGCATTCAAGCACTCACACTACGAGCATTCAAGCACTCACACTACGAGCATTCAAGCACTCACACTACGAGCATTCAAGCACTCACACTACGAGCATTCAAGCACTCACATTACGAGCATTCAAGCACTCACACGACGAGCATTCAAGCACTCACACTACGAGCATGCAAGCTTCTCCGAGTATGACCCTGCCACCTGTGACCGCGGCATTCACCGGTATTGGAAGCACTCACACTCCGAGCATTCAAGCACTCACACTCCGAGCATTCAAGCACTCACACTACGAGCATTCAAGCACTCACACTACGAGCATTCAAGCACTCACACTACGAGCATTCAAGCACTCACACTACGAGCATTCAAGCACTCACACTACGAGCATTCAAGCACTCACACTACGAGCATTCAAGCACTCACACTACGAGCATTCAAGCACTCACACGACGAGCATTCAAGCACTCACACTACGAGCATGCAAGCTTCTCCGACTATGACCCTGCCACCTGTGACCGCGGCATTCACCGGTATTGGAAGCACTCACACTCCGAGCATTCAAGCACTCACACTCCGAGCATTCAAGCACTCACACTACGAGCATTCAAGCACTCACACTACGAGCATTCAAGCACTCACACTACGAGCATTCAAGCACTCACACTACGAGCATTCAAGCACTCACACTACGAGCATTCAAGCACTCACACGACGAGCATTCAAGCACTCACACTACGAGCATGCAAGCTTCTCCGACTATGACCGTGCCACCTGTGACCGCGGCATTCACCGGTATTGGAAGCACTCACACTCCGAGCATTCAAGCACTCACACTCCGAGCATTCAAGCACTCACACTCCGAGCATTCAAGCACTCACACTCCGAGCATTCAAGCACTCACACTACGAGCATTCAAGCACTCACACTACGAGCATTCAAGCACTCACACTACGAGCACTCAAGCACTCACACTACGAGCATTCAAGCACTCACACTACGAGCATTCAAGCACTCACACTACGAGCATTCAAGCACTCACACTACGAGCATTCAAGCACTCACACGACGAGCATTCAAGCACTCACACTACGAGCATGCAAGCTTCTCCGACTATGACCCTGCCACCTGTGACCGCGGCATTCACCGGTATTGGAAGCACTCACACTACGAGCATTCAATCAGCATTCAGAGCGATTCAAGATTCCTTTGTTTTCTCTTTTACCCCCCTACTCCCCCCTCGGGTCGTACGCCTTTGCGGACAACCGGGTGCTCAAGAGGCAAGGCTTGCAGTAAGGTGGGTCTTGTGGATGCAATACGAGCCATGCTCATCACTACCCCCCACGTGCTTTTCCCCTTCGCCCCTCTGCTCCCTCACACACCCCCTCAGGTCTTTGCGGACACCAGGTGCTCAAGAGGAACGGCCTGCAGTATGCAATGCAAGCCTTGTAAATTACCCCCCTCCCTTTTCCCCTTCGCCCATCTGCTCCTCTCAACCGCTCAGGGCGTTCTTCTTTGCGGACAACCAGGTGCTCAAGAGGTATGGCCTGGTGGTGTTTTGAGTTGACTAAGTCACCATGTGTTCCCCCCTTCGCCCGCTCTTTCCTTCATGCCCCCTCAGGTCGCATGCCTTTGCGGACAACCAGGTGCTCAAGAGGTACGGCCTGGTGGTGTTTTGAGTTGACTAAGTCACCATGTGTTCCCCCCTTCACCCGTCCTTTCCTTCATGCCCCCTCAGGTCGTATGCCTTTGCGGACAACCAGGTGCTCAAGAGGTACGGCCTGCAGCATGCCAATCTCAACGACTCTGCCATCACCAAAATCGGAGCTCAGGCTGCCTGATATCGCAATATTTAGTGTAGAAAGAGAGCAGTGATCAGAGAACTGTAGGAAAAAAAGGGATTTGATCGTGTGTTGGTTCTTAAAGTGAATTTGTTTAGGGCCCTTCATAAGTGGTAGTTATATTGAAGGAAAATGTGTGCTGGTCCCATTTGTAATTTTCGTGTCTTACCAATGGACCCAAGATGTGTGACTAAAAAGGCAATAGTGTGGATGCATTAGACTGCCAAACTTATCTAGTACTACTTTTCGCCTTATGCCTTTGCATGTTCAGATATTACAACCAGCGTTAACGGGGTATCGAATAGCGTGTTCGTACAAGTGAAATTGAGCTAAGGGGGAAAACCTAGTGACCAAGGTCACAAAGTTAGCAGCAGGCGCGGTGGACATACTAGATACGGAGTCGCGAGCAATGCCTCATCAGCTACTATAAAATTAGCCTTATTAGGTCGTCAAGCCTGCTACAGAGCTCGTTCAGAGCTGGTCGAAGTTTCTGCCTTCTTTACAGACCCATTTCTCGTCGCCTCGCGCTGCTTCCGTTGCGACCGTAGTTTCGGATCGTCGCGTGACGATGGCGGAAGGCGGTCGCGGGCGACACTATCGCCACCGTCGCCGAGGTGAAAGCGACAGCGGTAGCGACAATAGCGACAGCGATGATAGCGGGAGCAGGCGACGGAATTCGCCGGTTTCTGACGACGACCGGGACGACCGGCGGGGCGATCGTGGGCGACGCGTGCGACGAAGGTATTCGTCGGACGAGGAAGAGGAGGAGAGGAGAGAAGGAAGGGGGAAAGAGGAGAAGAGGAGGGAGAAGGCGAAGGGAGGAGAGTCGGACCGGCATGCTTCGAAACATGCGGATCGGCGTCGGAGCGAGAAGCGGCGATCTGTCAGCGACGACGACGAGGACGAAGAAGAGGAGAGGGGGAAGCGACGCGGCGGCGATCGCGAAGGCGGGAAAAGCGGGAGAGGCGGGAGAGACAGTCGAAGCACAGGCGGGAGGCGGAGGAGGGGGAGCGAGTCCGCGAGTGAAAGCGATTCGGAATCGGAGGGGGAGAGGAAGAAGGGGCGGCGGAAAGGGGGCGAGGAGGGGAGTGAGGGACGAGGGGCGAAGGGGGGCGGGCGGAGAGCGCGTGTACGGCGTAGCGGGAGTGACAGTAGCGAGGATGAGGCGAAGGAGAGGAGACGGAACAGGCATCGTGACCAGGAGGAGGGGGGGGAGGATGAGCGAAGAGCGGGGAAAGCGGCGAGGGAGGAGAGAGCAAGAGGGAACGAGTCGAGGACCAAAGCGCGTGGCACAGCTGCTGCTACTTCTCCTGCTGCTGCCGCCACGGGGGCTGCTACCAAGCCACTGCGCGCCAAGCCAGCCCAACCAGCCAAGCAGGCCCAACCAGCGCGCGCGCAGCCACCCCTGGATGCAGCAGCGCTGGCAGCAGAAGCTGCGCGCGCTGCTGCTGGTTTTGGCCCCTCCGCCCCCGCCTTTTCCGCTGCTCCCCCACCCCTCCCCCACTCCCCAGCCCTCCCGCCGTCGTTCCCCCCTCCCCCGTCCGCCTCCGCCCCTCCCATCCTCCCCCCTCCTCCGCCCCCCCCGCACTACCCCTTCTCCGCGCCGCCCCCTCCCCCGCTTGGCGGCCCCCCTGTGCGCGCCGGGAATGGGGCTGCGGCAGAGGGTAGGGTGATTGCTGACGTGGACAGATCCGCGTCGGGGGGGAGAGTTCTTGCTGACGTGGATCCTGAGACGCTACAGGCCATGGAAGCAACGCAGAAGGCGCTGGAGGCGAAGGAGGGGGAAAAGAAGAAGGTGAGGGGGGGGGAGGATAAGGTGAGGGGGGGGGAGGATAAGGTGAGGGGGGGGGGAGGATAAGGTGAGGGTGGGGGAGAATAAGGTGAGGGGGGGAGAATAAGGTGAGCAGAGGGGGAGAACTAGGTGAGGGGGGGAGAATAAGGTGAGCGGAGGGGGAGAAGAAGGTGAGGAGGGGGAAAAGAAGGTGAGGGGGAGAAGAAGGTGAGGGGGAGAAGAAGGTGAGGGGGAGAAGAAGGTGAGGGGGAGAAGAAGGTGAGGGGGAGAAGGAGGTGAGGGGGAGAAGAAGGTGAGGGGGAGAAGAAGGTGAGGGGGAGAAGAAGGTGAGGGTGAAAAGAAGGTGGGGGGGGAGGAAAAGAAGGTGATGGGGAGAAGAAGGTGAGGGGGAGAAGGAGGTGAGGGGGAGAAGAAGGTGAGGGGGAGAAGAAGGTGAGGGGGAGAAGGAGGTGAGGGGGAGAAGAAGAAGGTGAGGGGGAGAAGAAGAAGGTGAGGGGGAGAAGGAGGTGAGGGGGAGAAGAAGAAGGTGAGGGGGAGAAGAAAAAGGTGAGGGGGAGAAGGAGGTGAGGGTTGGGGAGAGGGTTTTGAGAGGGGAAGGGCGCCAAAGGGAGAAAGAGAGTGGAGGGGGAAGGGGGGGAGCAGGAAGGAAAGAGGGGGTTGCGTGGGGAACGAGAAAAACGAAATTGAGGTATGGGGGGCGGTAGGTAGGGGGGCGGGGGTTAGTCAAGAATACCAAGGTGTGGGGCGCGGTGGTGAGAGAATGTGAGGGAGATGGGAGGGGGGTGGGGTGGATGCAGGTGTGGAAGGGAGGGAGAAAAGAAAGTGGGGTTATAGTCTGGGCTGTGTGGAGTGGTGATCGTGTGTCTGGGCTGTGTGGAGTGGTGATCGTGTGCCTGGGGCGCGGATAGGCGAGATGACCAAGGTGTGGGCACGTGGGGGTGGGGAGAGGGGAGAGTATGTGAGGGGAGATTGTGAGGAGGTGTGAGGGGAGAGAATGTAAGGGAGATGTGAGGGGCGGGTGTGGGGGCAGGACTAGGAGGGAGAATGTGAGGTGAGGTTGTGTGGAGAGAGGTGGCACAGACGCAGAGGCTTTGGGGCCGCTTTTATCTTAAAACCTTTCCATTCCTCCCCGTCCCCTTCACTTGCTCCTGTGCCGCCTCCCTCTCCCTGCATGCAGGTTGCATTGCAGGCAGCACAGCCGCCGTTCGAGCTGTAGGGGAAGCTGGCTGGCTGAAGGGGACGGGGAGGAAGGTGAGCGGGGAGACACAAGTCCCTCGCTCCCCACCCCATACACATCACCCTCCTAGTTTTGGGGCGCCTAAAAATACGAATTATGTTTCCTTCTCTCCCTCTCTCCCCATCACCCTTCCCCACTGTTTCACTGCTTCCTTCCTTCTGCTGCCTCTCCTCCTCCTCTCCCGCCCCCCACAAACTGCAGGCAGCAGCAGTGCTGCCATTTGAGCTGCCAGGCGAACTGGTCAAATGCGATTTGTGTCTCCCTCTCTTTTGAGTCGACTCAAAAGTCAACCTCTCTCCCTTCCCCCTACCCTTCCTCCCCTGCGGCCTTCCTTTTGCTGCGTCCCCCTTCTGTCCCTTCTCCACCCCCACTTTTGAGTCGACTCAGAATTCGGCTGCGTCCCCCCTCCTTCTCCCCTCCTTCCCCCCTCCTTCCCCCCTCCTTCCCCCCTCCTCCCCCCCTCCTTCCCCCCTCCTTCCCCTCTCCTTTCCCCCTCCTCCCCCTCTTCCCTCCCACGGCAGGCACGGCATGCAGCGCAGCGATCGTTTGAGCTGTCAGGCAAACTGGTTGAGAACGATCTCTGTCTCCCTCTTCCGCTCTCTCTCCCCTCCTCCACTGTTCCTCTGCTTGCTTCCCTCTGCTGCGTCCCCCCTCCTTCCCCCCGTCGCCCCCTTATTCCCTCCCACGGCAGGCAGTGCAGCCATCGTTTGAGTTGTCAGGCAAACTGGCCGAAGAAACCAACCGCTTCCGAGGTCAGTGCTGTGCGGTGCTGGTGGGTGCTGGTGGGTGCCTGGTGGGTGCTGGTGGGTGGCTGGTGAGTGTAGGTAATGGGGGCGGGGGGGGGGGGACGTGTGGCCGTGGGGAGAGAGCGAGGGTGAGGAGACTTCTGAGGCACGTCAATAGGGGTTTTTGTCAAGAGCAAAGATGTTTTGAGAATTCTCAAAGGGGAAAAGGTGTTTTGAGAATTCTCAAAGGGGAAAAGGTGTTTTGAGACGTCTCAAACTGAGGCGCCTCGCCTCAATAGGGGTTTCTGTCAGGGGAAAAGAAGAGTGTTTAGGGTTCTTATTTCTTAGGGAAAAACATCCGTCTTGTGAAGAATTTCCATGTAGCTTCCTGGAATCCAGTCCAGCAATATCCCTCCATCCCTGCTCTCCTGTGATATACCTTCTTGCTGCCCAACCCCACTGACCAATCGCGTGCTGCCCAACCCCACTGACCAATCGCATGCTGCCCAACCCCACTGACCAATCGCATGCTGCCCAACCCCACTGACCAATCGCATGATGCCAGGTGTCGCGCTCGTGTACAACGAGCCTCCAGAGGCGCGCAAGCCCTCCATCCGCTGGCGGCTGTACGTCTTCAAAGACGGGGAGCCTTTCAAAGGTGGGCTTTTTATGGTGATTCTCTTGAAGGCAAGGAAATTCTCAAAAGAGAAATTCGAGCATGAAGGTGCTTCTTTTAAATAAGCGAAAAAAAAAAAGAAAAAAAAAAGTGGTAACTGTTTGTAAACAAGTGGTGTTTATGGTCGCATGCACTCCTGTTGCATTCGATGCGACGATCCACTCTGAGGCATGGTGATGAGACATAGACATTCGACACTTCTCAAGACCCCCTGGTTTCTGAGAATTCTAAAGAACGTGATGCGACGATCCACTCTGAGGCATGGTGATGAGACATAGACATCTTACACTTCTCAGGACCCCCATCCACTCTTCCTGCTCTGAATTTCCAAATTCCGCCTTCCCTTCCCCTTCCCCCTTCCTGTTTCCCTGCTCCACACACCACAATCCCCGCCCCAACCCCCGTCCTTCCCCTCCCCTCCCCTCTCCCCGTTTCTTTGCACCACACCACGACCTCCCCCCAACGCCCCCCTCACCTCCCCTCTTTTCCTATGCATTGAATATGCGGTTCACTATTGAGCTGTGCATGCCTATCTGTGTGTTTATACACGTGCATGTCTGTGTGCCCCTGCATGCATGTTTGCCTAACCATGCACACATGGTATCAGAGCTACTCTACATCCATCGCCAAGCGTGCTACCTCTGCACCTGTTTTTTCACTTGCCCTACTCGCTGGGGTTGTGTTTTTTGCGGTTGTTTGCATGCATATGCATGCCTGTTTTGTGTGCCCCTGCTTGCATGTTTGTCTACGCATGCATGCACAAATGTGGTATCAGAGCCGCTTTACATTCATCGCCAACCCTGAAAGTTCACCTGGTTAAGCACTTGCCTGACTCTTCTGGTTTGTGTTTTTGCGGTTGTTTGCACACATGTGGTATCAGAGCCGCTCTACATTCATCGCCAAACATGCTACCTCTTTGGCCGCGAGAGAAAAGTGGGTGTGGGGGGCAATGAGAGTGGGGGGGGCAATGGGAGTGTGGGGGGCAATGAGAGTGGGGGGGGCAATGGGAGTGTGGGGGCAACGAGGGTGTGGGGGAAATTGGAGTGTGAGAAGGGGTAAAGGGAGTGTGCAGCATATTGGCAGTGTGGGCAGCAAATGGTCCTGTTAGCCACACATGGCTCATAACCATTTGTGGCTCATAGCCAAGTGTGGCGCAGTCCTGTGGTGGTTGTGGCACGGCAATTATCCTTTCACATATCCCAGAAACCCAATACTGAAATTCGCTACCCTCTGGCCCTTCTATCCGGTCTTGCCGCCCTTGTGAATTCTCAGAAACCACTCTTGTCGTTTGTCACCATGTACAAAGCCACTCACAGCGTGCTGACAAGCAGGTGTACTGTACATTACCCTCTTTGCATATAACCATCTCACCATCTGACCATCTGACTTGGGGCACGTTGCAGATGTGCCAATAGACCATCCATCTGTTGTGGGGCTGCCCTTTATGGGCGTCAGAACTTCAATTTTTCTGTGTAGTTTTGAGACGTCTCAAAACTATGGGCGTCAGCCTTTCTGTGTGCTGCCCTGCTGCTTTACCATGCGTGTGCGACGTGGGGTGGGCAGGTTGCAGACGTGCCAACAGACCATCCATCATGCAGCAAGCAGCACGCCGTCATTCAGTTCCGGTGGGTGTGCTGTGCGGTGCGGTGCTGTGTGGTGTGGTGCTGTCCGGTGCTGTACCATCTGACCATCTGACCATCTCATCATGTCATCTTATCTCACCATCTCATCATGTCATCTTATCTCACCATCTCATCATGTCATCTTATCTCACCATCTCATCATGTCATCTTATCTCACCATCTCATCATGTCATCTTATCTCACCATCTCATCATGTCATCTTATCTCACCGTCTCATCATGTCATCTTATCTCACCATCTCATCATGTCATCTTATCTCACCATCTCATCATGTCATCTTATCTCACCATCTCATCATGTCATCTTATCTCACCATCTCATCATGTCATCTTATCTCACCATCTCATCATGTCATCTTATCTCACCATCTCATCATGTCATCTTATCTCACCATCTCATCATGTCATCTTATCTCACCATCTCATCATGTCATCTTATCTCACCATCTCATCATGTCATCTTATCTCACCATCTCATCATGTCATCTTATCTCACCATCTCATCATGTCATCTTATCTCACCATCTCATCATGTCATCTTATCTCACCATCTCATCATGTCATCTTATCTCACCATCTCATCATGTCATCTTATCTCACCATCTCATCATGTCATCTTATCTCACCATCTCATCATGTCATCTTATCTCACCATCTCATCATGTCATCTTATCTCACCATCTCATCATGTCATCTTATCTCACCATCTCATCATGTCATCTTATCTCACCATCTCATCATGTCATCTTATCTCACCATCTCATCATGTCATCTTATCTCACCATCTCATCATGTCATCTTATCTCACCATCTCATCATGTCATCTTATCTCACCATCTCATCATGTCATCTTATCTCACCATCTCATCATGTCATCTTATCTCACCATCTCATCATGTCATCTTATCTCACCATCTCATCATGTCATCTTATCTCACCATCTCATCATGTCATCTTATCTCACCATCTCATCATGTCATCTTATCTCACCATCTCATCATGTCATCTTATCTCACCATCTCATCATGTCATCTTATCTCACCATCTCATCATGTCATCTTATCTCACCATCTCATCATGTCATCTTATCTCACCATCTCATCATGTCATCTTATCTCACCATCTCATCATGTCATCTTATCTCACCATCTCATCATGTCATCTTATCTCACCATCTCATCATGTCATCTTATCTCACCATCTCATCATGTCATCTTATCTCACCATCTCATCATGTCATCTTATCTCACCATCTCATCATGTCATCTTATCTCACCATCTCATCATGTCATCTTATCTCACCATCTCATCATGTCATCTTATCTCACCATCTCATCATGTCATCTTATCTCACCATCTCATCATGTCATCTTATCTCACCATCTCATCATGTCATCTTATCTCACCATCTCATCATGTCATCTTATCTCACCATCTCATCATGTCATCTTATCTCACCATCTCATCATGTCATCTTATCTCACCATCTCATCATGTCATCTTATCTCACCATCTCATCATGTCATCTTATCTCACCATCTCATCATGTCTTCTTATCTCACCATCTCATCATGACATCTTATCTCACCATCTCATCATGTCATCTTATCTCACCATCTCATCATGTCATCTTATCTCACCATCTCATCATGTCATCTTATCTCACCATCTCATCATGTCATCACCGTCTCGTCTCACCATCTCACCATCCCACCTATCTCAACACGAGCATCTCCTCTGCTGCTGACTTTTGAGTCGACTCAAAAATAACAACACCAGCATCTCCTCTGCTGCTGACTTTTGAGTCGACTCAAAAATAACAACACCAGCATCTCCTCTTCTACTGACTTTTGAGTCGACTCAAAAATAACAACATCAGCATCTCCTCTGCTGCTGACTTTTGAGTCGACTCAAAAATAACAACACCAGCATCTCCTCTGCTGCTGACTTTTGAGTCGACTCAAAAATAACAACACCAGCATCTCCTCTGCTGCTGACTTTTGAGTCGACTCAAAAATAACAACACCAGCATCTCCTCTGCTGCTGACTTTTGAGTCGACTCAAAAATAACAACACCAGCATCTCCTCTGCTACTGACTTTTGAGTCGACTCAAAAATAACAACACCAGCATCTCCTATGCTGCTGACTTTTGAGTCGACTCAAAAATAACAACACCAGCATCTCCTCTTCTGCTGACTTTTGAGTCGACTCAAAAATAACAACACCAGCATCTCCTCTGCTGCTGACTTTTGAGTCGACTCAAAAATAACAACACCAGCATCTCCTCTGCTGCTGACTTTTGAGTCGACTCAAAAATAACAACACCAGCATTTCCTCTGCTGCTGACTTTTGAGTCGACTCAAAAATAACAACACCAGCATCTCCTCTGCTGCTGACTTTTGAGTCGACTCAAAAATAACAACACCAGCATCTCCTCTGCTACTGACTTTTGAGTCGACTCAAAAATAACAACACCAGCATCTCCTCTGCTGCTGACTTTTGAGTCGACTCAAAAATAACAACACCAGCATCTCCTCTGCTGCTGACTTTTGAGTCGACTCAAAAATAACAACACCAGCATTTCCTCTGCTGCTGACTTTTGAGTCGACTCAAAAATAACAACACCAGCATCTCCTCTGCTGCTGACTTTTGAGTCGACTCAAAAAT